TAGTACCCTCCATACCGCCTTCTCTTCCAGGGCTCCAATACTAGCCAGGCAAATCATGAACGAACGATGGAAAAATGTTGACAACATAAATATGAGCTCGGCTATAATTCTCGAATGGGGATCCAATAACTTGGTAGATTTCAATGCAAACAAAACACAAGCATGCCTATTCTCTAGAAAAGCTGATCTCCCTGTGCCCAACATAAGCTTGCCAGGAGTATCCATCGCTTCGAAAACATCCATTTCGATGCTTGGTATTACTATCAGCAATAACCTTTCTCTCGTGAGTCAATTGCTAAAAGTGCTTTCCAAAAACGTGGTTTTCTGTTTCAGGCCAGGAGCTATTTCACTTCCAGTCAGCTGCTTATGATCTTTGAGGCACAGATCCGACCTGTCCTGGAATACTGACCCCATATTTGGAGTGCAGCACAAAAACATACCCTGAAACTGTTGGATTCTGTCCAAAAAGGGGCAATTGGTCTCGTGGGTGATGCCTCGCTCAGAAACTCACTCACTTCTCTGGAGCACTGTAGAAAAGTTTGCGATCTGGCTCTATTTCATAGATATTTTTATGGACGATTCTCTTCTAAAATATCAACAATTGTTCCTTCCTTGACAGTCCCCACGAGATTATAACCCGTCGAGTTGATGAGGCTTCGCACCTCTTCGTGGTCACTTTGGAGACCTGCAGAACATCTCTTTCCAAAGACTCGTTCATCCAACGAACAGCGAGGCTCTGGAACAACATTGCCAACGAAGGTGTTCCCCGAGTCATATAACCTCCAGAAATTTAAGAAAAACACCAATTCCTACCTTATTTCTCTTGGTCCTCACGATGTTCTCTGAACATTACAGGATATCCCTTTTCGTGGGAGCCAGAACATGAAAAAGGAATCTTCCGGAACCTGCACGAAAAGAATCATTCATATTGAAGTGGCTCTTGATAAGCACCATGAGTCGTGTATGGTGAAATTGATAACGGTATGTAGGGAAGATACAATGGGCCACTAGTCCTAAGTGTCGTCGGAGACATCGGTCAGACGAGCCTACAAAAGGGGTGAGTGTTAAGTGGGTATACCCTCGAGTCAGGGGACTCTCACACCATCATCAGGGGGATTAGACGAGAAATAAATGTTATAGTTGTTACAGTTACAGTTTTCTGTCAGAGATGGGTTTGACATTGACATTTGGTCACATGTTATCAGGTTAATCCAGCGAAATCAGAATAAACACGTTTTTTTTCATTTTTGGATGTCTTTCTGCCTCCTAATGTGGTGATTCCACAGGCTTATCGGGGCACAGGGCCCCTGTATAGAAGACCTGTTATAACACAAAAAACGTATGTTCTCTGTTTCGTAAATTCCAATTCCAAAAAAAGAATTCTGCTTCACGTGAGTTTTACCATGTTCTACCATTGATACCCTATTTTTGTTACTTTGTTCTTTGGAGATTAATTTCTCAATCGGCTGATGATGGATACCCTATAGATCTGATACATGTCCCCTTTCTATTTATGATTTGATGATATATCAAACGTTGTGGAGACGTCTTGCAGTATTATTACTATATGAAATGAAACAAAAGAAAAACAACAATTACGTAAGATACAGGGGTGCTTTCATTAGAAGTGAGAATAGGAACTCCGACACACCAATGAGGGGACTGGTCCTCCATGGTGTTTTCAGTAGGTAATACAATATCGATAACTCACAGTGAAAAAGTTATTTGCAATCTCACAAACGAACAGAAGACAGTTACATCACTTTCAGCCCCGTATTTTTCTGATCATTCCCAGGGATAAATGGTTCCGAACAGTGAATTACCATTTATTCGGAATTTTCGCTGCTGTAACGGAGCAGCATGAATAAATTTGAATAAAAAGAGAGCCACCAATTTTGAGGCAACACTGGCATGGACGCCCCCTTACAAGATCACAACACAACAAAAAGTACACACGGAATATTTAATGAATTAGCCCGTTTCCAGGCTGGCGTACACTTCTTTGGCAAAACAAAGCACAATGAGAATTACCACCGACAGAAATATCGCCATGCGGAAATAATAGATTGAAGCGCTGCTTACCATTTTGTAACAATGGTGTTCAACAAACAAACGTGTATACAGGGTATTTTCTAGACGGATAGATGGAATTCGTGGCAATGCATTCAAATGGTTCGAGTCATAGGTACCTATTAGATCGAAAACAAAGAGAAAAAATTATGCTTGAAGGTAAAATCACTAAGTAACACTTAAAAGAATACAAAATAGGGATTCCACAGGGAAGTATTACAGGTCCAATTTTATTTGCAATCTTTATGAATGACATGATATCAATATCAAACAACGATTACAGCCTAATAACCAGCTATGCTGATGATACCAATTTACTAAGTTCAAGTTCAAACTCCCCAGAACTCTGCGAAAATTCTAAAAGTCTCATTATGAGAGTTAATGAGTGGTTCTCAAAAAATAATCTCTTACTCAACAAAGAAAAAACTCATGCTATCCTTTTTCGAACCTCACAGCAAAAAATTACAACTCCAACTAGTATAAGACTTTTTGAAACTAACATCAATATGAAAAGTAACACAAAATTCTTGAGTGTTTTTATAAATGAAAACTTGAAGTGGGAAACACACATCAACTATCTTGAAGCAAGACTAAACCAAATTGCATACATAGCATTCGTATACTTTGTAAATACTTGAATGAAAAGTCCCTAAAAATTATCTATCATGCAAACTTTGAATTCACTGCAAAATTTGGCATAATATTTTGGGGATCGAGCAGTCAAACTAAGGAAATATTCCAGATCCCGAAGAGGGTTATGAGATCATTATACAATATAAGATATGCTGAAACGTGCAGAGGTACCTTCAGATCAAATAAGATGATGGCCATATTTGCTCTATATATTTATGAATGTGTCATACATCTGTATAAAAATTAAATGAATTTCACACAAAGTAATAATGACAGATACCCCATTCGGAACAGTAATTTCACTTTTCCAACACACAGGTTGACTTCAACAGAAAAGTATCCGAATTATTCAGCAATTGGATTGTTGAATAAATTATCAAATGAAATGAAAGTGATTGATAGTGTGAAAAAATTCAAGAATCATCTGAAGAACTGGCTTACTGAACTTGAATATTTAAATGTAAATATCTAAATTCAAACTTATTTATTTATTTTCTATGTTTTGTGACACTGTTTCATTCTTTGTTTTCAGGCGACCCATAAAAACAAGGTTCAAAGAACATAGCCCATTTAAAATATGGCAGGTTAGATAAATCCTGTGTAGCCGAACATATGTTCAATCACAATCATAACACACATATTACTAACCTCAAATTAGTTACGCAAGTTAATAACATTAGAAAACTAGATGCATATGAAAGATTAGAGATATTTAGGAATAGTAATATAGTAATGAATAAGGATAATGGACCTATTCCATATAGCCCTCTATATAGTTTAGTAAAATAAAAATTAAGATCAACATGTGAACTCAACCATGACAAACATTAACTTGACGGTTAGTATTTTTCACAGTTGGGTGAACATATACCTAGTATACCGGGTGACACAGGGTATCGGGCCACCCCTGTAACTTCTGCTTTCGTCATCGGATTTTTCTGAAATTCGGTACAGTTATATAAGCAATTATTTCGGATTTGAACACATTACAATCCAATATGGCGGACTTCTGGTATTTCTGTAAATGCCAGCAACTTTGTTTTTTCAAATGAAACACCCTGTATATTTTTACATATTCGAGTTCAAAAGGTCGAAACAATTGCAATCTTTATTTCAAATGTCATTTTTTCGAAAAATTGTTTTTTCATTTTACCTCGTGGATAAATGAGATGTGGTCAAGACTATTCACAATTAGTCACACATAACAGAAGAACATAATTTTTTCTGAAAAATTATCATTTGTGTCACTTATCCAGGAATCAATTCAGCCACATCACTTTTTGATTAAAAATTTTTTTTTTTCAAATGGAACCCCTATGGGCCACCTAACCGTTTCTCTAGAACATACATCAAGGAACAAAATGAAATATCATTTTTGTTTTTCGGTGCAATAACAAATTGTATACATTCAAAAATCAACAACTAGTTTATGAATTTTCTTGCAGTTAGAATAATTTTTCAACTAGGTAGGCTGTGGAATAAATGACATTTGACATCAAGATTGCACTTGTTTTGACCTGTTGAACTTGAATATGTAAAAATATACAGGGTGTTCCATTTGAAAAAACAAAATTGCTGGCATTTCCAGAAAAACCGGAAGTCCGCCATATTGGATTGTAATGTATCAAATCCGAAATAGTTGCTTATATAACTGTACCGAATTTCAGAAATATCCGTTGACGAATGCAGAAGTTACAGGGGTGGCCCGATAGCCTGTGTCACCCATAAGCAGCACACTAGAATAGGAAATTTAGTTTTAATCATCTCCTGAAGATGCTAATGTAGTTAGCGAAACACGTGTTGAGGCGTTAAAAAAATGGGTTTGGTTAGTGGTAAAACATTGTAGTGTGAATGATATAGATGGAAAGCCCCAATTTCGAGTGGCAATGGAAAATGAAAAAACTCCACTCCGGATGTCCCGTTAGCTCAATTGCCAGAGCGTTGGGCATGTAACTCAGAGGTTGTGAGTTCGACTCTCTCACGGGGCGGTGAAGCTTTTTCATTTTCGGTTTTCACTAGAAATTTGGGCCTTTTATCTTCATCATTATCAACTATAATAGACAGTTTCTCCTCTCCGCTCTCAGATCTTTAGAGCTCAATAATGATATATCAATTATTTCATGATCTAAATGATGAATAGTGTCATATCGAAAAATGAATTATAAAAAATCGTGAATCCTAGAGGTTATAGGAAAAGTATTCTGTAGACGAGTGATCCAATCAAGACATTGAAAACTATTATTTCCTGAACATTGATGAAAATTTCGTGGAATGATAGCTAAGGTATGTCTACTCACCATAAACAGAAGATACGCAATAACAGAAGAAAACTAATGTGAAGTTCTTGGTACCAGTATTCTCTCTCATCTTGTAGAATCCCTCAAATTTCATCTGTAAAAATAGAGAATGTTGAGACTCATTTATCGACGTTGTAATTCAGTGAATCTGTTTTCATTGAAAACAATCAGCCAAGAAAATGAACAATTTCCATAGTCTTCATTTCTCACGTGCTAAACAACGACAACTCTACTATGAATGAATAGAAGTGTTCCTTGTATCAACGAGTTTGTTTAATTCATTAAAGATCAACTCGTATATCAATGCATGATTACCTACGGCCACTATTGAGAGTAGGCAAGAACACACGAGATACAGTCTCAGTAAGTAGCTCTTTACGTACAGTAAGCACATCGCACTGTTCTCGTCTATTCCGCCAGTATAGGTATGTCATGATCGCTTAATCGCCGTCAACAGCGAATGAGATAACTGTCAAGAATTATAATTCAGACTGTTTATCCAAACTTTTTTGATGTACTATATGACAATAGGTAAAGTATAGTACGTAATGCGTGTTGTAAAGCAATCACACGCACTTATAAATTATTTGTTCGTGCGTAATATCAGGGCCTACTCTATCTCACCTCGAGCAGGCCCTGGTAATATGCTTCTTTCAACACATATTACGTAATACACTATTGTAGTCACTAGGCAAACATATTCGCAGTCGTCAAGGTATGTCATGGTGATTAGATGACGTTGCTATGACATCGAAAACTACGGAAAAACATGTCTAGATTTAAGTCTATGCCAGCCGCAAGGGCGTCGCCAGAGAGGGGCAGGGTGGGGCAGCTGCCCCCCCCCCTACGATTAACGCTCACCAGTCACCCTGCTATCATTGAAACGATTATTTCATTCACACCCGGCTGGACCTATGAAATGTCATGATTGAAGTCACATGATTTGCGATATCAGCGGCTATTTAGGTAAACAAACAATATCAGCGGCTATTCTGTTCGCCAGCATAAGAGTGCAATGGTTGTCAAACTTTGACATACCTATCAGTCACTCAAAAATTGAAATGTCTCGTTTTGGGTCAACTTCCACTACGGATATTCGTAATTATATGAGCGAATCGATATGATAAAATAACAAGGAGAGTAAAGAAACTGTCTGGAAGAATTCAAGTTTTTTTTGCCAGCAGAAAAACTATGAATTTTGTGCGACTACCCCATCTCTCGTGATTGCCCAAATCCTAAAAGATTGGGTGAGGAGAATGGCGAGGAATATGAGGAATGAACAGTTGAAATTGATATGGAAAACTATATACAGGAAGGTTATTATACTTCAATAAACATAATAGTGAGACAAATCCATTTGAATATATCGAATTCAAAGGTGTCAGGGTTGCACATAATGCAAAAAGGCGAAGCCTACAATATTCTACTCAAACAAGAATGGAAAGTACAAAAGCTCTAATCAACGAATATTGACGCTATCAATAGCGTTAATATTCTTTCTTTGCTCTAACTTCAAATGAATTGATTGCAATTATTGTACGTAGATATGATGAAAATATCCCAGACGGCCTTCAGAAGAATTTTTATTCTAATAGTATCTGCAGAATTGTGAAATGTAACTTGAATAAAATGTTGAAACTCATATAAACCAGTATTTTTACACTGTTCATGAAATAATCTTCCTGAATATCACTCGACCATGACAAAAAGAGACTATTATTTTCTTTAATTCATCTCGAGTAACTTGTATTTTGGGACAATTCAATTCGACCATATGAACATAAATAATCATAGAATAACTCCCTCGAGCTGAAGCTCTCGGGAGTTATTCAGATTATTAATGTTCATATGGTCTCATCAAATTGTCAAAATACAAGGTACTCTCGATAGAATTATGAAGAAAATAATAGTCGGCTATTTGTCATGGTCTCGGGATATTACCTACGACTATTTCATTCATCACATAATCTGACCAATCACAAGCCAGAGAAAACGTGTGATTATCGCGAAATCTAGATGTTTTCAAAGATGTAACCATGGGTAGCGAAGCGAAGTCTGTCAATTTGGCAAAAGATAATGACTGTACTTGTCAGAATGAATCATTCATTTAAAATAAATGCTTCTTTGCTTCGTGAACGTGAAATAGTCTCCACTCTATTCTGAATATATTCTCATAATTCTTCATTTCCTTGTCAAATCTATTGTGTTGCCGTACAGCCCTACCTTTCGTCCTGACTCGTGGTGTTGCTCAGCAACACAATTTCGTGAACAATGAGGCGACAGAATTATCTCGAATATTAAGAATATCGTGATATTACTTATGATAACGCTCACTTTGAGCAAAGAACTTCCGAAAGTATATTTTTCTCCTGAAGTTGAGAAGGCTCTGAAGATCCTTGTTGCCTTTGCCTTGTAAGATTTGTACAGTTGAAAGGTCATTTAGTAGCCTTAGAAGAATCAAAACCTGGTTGAGGAGCACCATGTATGATGCTCGGCTCAATGGCCTCGCAATGATGAGTAGGTATACACAGGCAACATATTTTCAAAAACTTGAACGATTTCGTCGAAAAGTGACCAACGAATTCCCAAAGAACCCTAGAAGATTATTTTTCAACTGATTTACTGTATAGATTTTTTTTTGTTTTTGGATTTTCTCATTAAACTCTTTCTTTTTGATTTTTCTCTTCAGTTTTTTCATAGTGCCCCCCCCCCCCTATTTTTTCTGCTGGCGACGCCTTTATTGCCAGGAATTAGGATGTTTCCCCTTTAAGGCTTTACTCTAGAAAATAATGTTGTGAAAACTTTTTCTCAGCATTGAATGCATCCACAGTACTTTTCTCAGGAAGGAAGAAGAATATCCCTCCTGCATGAAGGATACTCCTTTTTTTAACCATCCAGCCCTACTCGGCCTAAATGAACCCTCCTTCTAAAGAGACTGTACTTTGTTTCAGGGAGGAATGAATATATTCCTCCTGCATAAAAAAAGGTACTACTTTTCTCAAGCCATCTAACATTAATCGGCCTAAATGAGCCTTCTTCCTAAAAATTATATATATATATATCACTTGGAGAACAGAATTTAAAAAAGCCAACCGTCACAGGCATTGAACCTGGGTCGCCGACATGGGATTCAAACGCACAGTCAACTACGCCACGAGTCATAGTTTACGTGGTAGTATGGAAAAAGAATCTAGTCGCTGTACCTGCATTTGCCCCGCTGATTATACCATTCTAAAATTTATGGCAAGTATATACTCCCCAGACGCTACTGTTTACAGGTCCCGTAGTTTTAAATGTCATCGGATGACCTTGAAACCCGCAAATACGCCGCTTACGTTCACTGTTTGCACTACAACTAACGTAATCTGTTTTAAAATTGAAATTATGGATTAGATCGGAATGGCCCACATATCCCAGGTGTCTAATGGTATAAACAAACGCACAGATATCAACCTACTTTTAATTGATAATGCACAATAGATCATTACATAACCAGAATAGTTCCATCCTAGTCGAATTTTACAGTTTCTCAATGTTGAGGTTTCTCAACAAAATCTCAACCTTATCGTACATTTTACTTATATGGACATAGTAACAATCTCTTCTTCTTCTCTTTCATAAACTGGCTGACTACTATAATACTTATAAACCACAATAACACACCTGTCAATTGACATACAAAAAATTCTCTATTTTGTGGAAAGGAAGAAGCAGAGTCTCCTGACCTAAGAGAATTAGTAGAATTCGAAGAATTTGAAAAATGTGACTTGGAATTTTTAACTAAATTTTAAAATTTTAATTCACAAAAATGTACAGTTGATTTTAGTTGTACAAGTGTAAGTCTCTCATATGTTCACGTATGCAATTTTACACCTCATCTTTTACAATTTAATATATCGAACAACGTTGTAACCAACCTCATCAAAGATGTGAGTACCAGGCATAACCATAGTGTTTTCCAATGTATTTACACCGAGATTTACACTCTTCAATCATTGTAGTATTCCTGATGATGGAAATAAACATTTCCGAAAGCTTGGATGAACTAGAGTATTCCTTTCACACTGCTGCTACCCCCAATTTACACTGGTTTCATTCCTACTGGTCAGCAACGACTTCCCTTTTATGTGAATCATCCAGTATATCATACGTTTTGCTTTCTCGTAATAGAATATTGCGATCATTTCCAACAAGAATGTTATATGTTTTTCTTCCAGCTAGATGCTCCCTGTAATGGACATAATAAGAAAAAGAACAGAGTCCAGAAAACTCATTGAAATTCACTACCAACTTCTCCAATAACAATAAAAATCGTCTGTCTCTGAAACAGATTCCATTCAGCTGGAAGATATTGGTAGTTCCTTTGATTCAAACTCCAATATAACTAGAAGAAAATCAAGTCAGCTATCCTCTGATGATTACTCTACCTTAACTGTGCTCCTATTCTCAGTACTAGTGAAGTAGAAGATCTATAGTTCACTATTTTTAACATTTTCACTATAGAAAAATAAATATCTCTTAGGAATCATGGTCTTCTGCTCGCGTTATTTTTCAATAATATTATTACCAAGCTATGGATGCTCGTAGACAATGTTTGGTAATCAATTATTTATGTACGACCATTTTGGATTGTCAAACTTGGCTAATTAACATTCATATAGGTCGCGTGCACTATGACCGACCCTGAGAGTAAAATATTGAAACACAACGTTACTTTTCTGTGAAACATTGAAACAGAACCTCACTTTTTTATTCGTTTACTGAAGAATCGAAGAATTGAAATAGTTTGTCACAATATTCTGGCATACGAATCGTGTTTTTTGAGCTATTCATTAATTCGAACATGCCTTCTCATTGTGCCGTTGTACAATACACAAAAATTGCAGCAGAGACGAAGGAATATTATTTTTCAGGTAAATAGTAATCTCACATAGTTCTCATTATGGAATTTTGTCATTTCCTATTGAAAATCCTTCTGCCACTTCTGCAATAGAAGCTCATACTGCTAGATTGGAAATGTCTACAAAACACACAATCATATTTTGTCAGCATGTCAGACCAGTCCTCCCGTTTGATTGCATGAATCCAATCTTC